TTTATGGGTGTGGCCTTGATACATCTTTGAAAATTAGAGGGCAACTTTTGAGAGTCAATTTTTGTCTTCTACCTGTTTTGAAGCAGGGTCTATTTAGTTGCTCTGTCACTGCTAATCTTACTCCAGGTAGCCTGGGAGCTCTCAACTGGCAGTCACCTGCCCCCTCCCCCTATCTTGACACGGGATTACAGATGTGCACCACCCATTTTGGACATTTTCTGTGTATTCTCATGATTGAACCCAGGTGGTTAGGCTTGCAGGGTAAGAGCTTTTCCCCCTTCTGTGCCATTCTCCCATACCCCATTTTTTGGTTGATTTATTTATTGTTACTTTTAAAAAAGAAAGGTATTGCTCTGTAGCCAAGACTATCTCTGAACCCATAGCAGCATTCCTACCTCAGCCTCTTGAATGCTAAGATTACAGTAGCAAGCCACCGAAACATGCTAGGGGTCTCCATTTTAAGAATGAAAAGCTGATGGATTTTTTGTATCATCTGTCCCAAGAGCCTCGATTTTGGCGCTAATCAAGAAACCTTCCTTTAAAAAAAATCATTATGTAAAACAAAATAAGGTGTGTGTGTGTGTGTGTGTGTGTGTGTGTGTGTGTGGTGTGTGAACATTCTCTATGGCGTGTGAGTGCAATCAGGACAACTTTTGAGAATTAGTTCTCTCCTCTTCCACTGTGTGGACCCTGGAGATGAAGCTCAGGTCTTTAGGGTTAATGGCAGGTAGGTGCCTTTATCCCTTGAACCATCTTGCCAAGTCGACAAGCTTTTTAGAACAAACTCCCTATGCTGATTAGCTATAATCTGAAGCATCAAGATTTCTGCCTGCCGTTTGGATACCTAGGCCTTTCTGGAAAGCCCATGACTACACACATGTGGTTACTAAACACAACTGAAAAATAATGGCTTGCTTTACGCAAGGCTAGTGGAGCTTCTCAGGTTTAGAGTGGGAGGCTTCCTTTGAAACTGATTTTTCTCCCTGATTCTGAATAAATATGCTTTTCAAAAAAAAAATCTGATCCTCAATTTTTCTAGAGTATTTCTGTGATAGAAAGCAAGGGACACAGAAACTGGCATCGTGGTATTTTATTCTGGACACAGGTTTGAACAGAATTTGTCGAGGCCAATGAGTTTAAGTGAGGTGGGCGGGGAGGGGGGAGCAGGGAGAGACAAGAAATAGTCCTGTCTCTAAACAGCCTGTGGTGATTTTCGGGGGGAAAAACACTCTTGGAGGCACAGAGAGGAAGCAATGGAGGATGTCAAAATGAGTGCAAAGGGGTAAAAGGGGTCCTAACACAGACTAGGGAATCAAGGGGAGGTTCTGAGGCTTGAGAGCCAATTAGGGCAAGGCAGTCAAGGAACAGGGAGGAAAAAGAGACTGAGTGGGCACTGCTGGATGGCGCTTTCTGGGCATCTACAGGCAATATGAGAAGGGGAATTCCTGCCAAGTCAGGGAATGAGCCAATGCCAGAGACAGTGGCTATCCCCTGGAGAATGGTAAAATCAGCCTGGCTGGACCCACCTGGTGGGGGCTTACCCAGTGGGGACATGGAACAGAGGAGGCGAGTGGATAAGGGCTGGCAGGCCGAGGAGCAGCAAAGCTATTGGGCTAGGCAGCCAGAAATGTTCTTCAGGCTGCTCATGTCTCCCATGTGATACACAGCCATGGTGAGATCAGCCCAAGGTTTTCATCAAGTTGGGGGCGGGGTAGGATTTCCTTTGACTTCAACTAGAAGGGTGTGGGGCTGTGGTTAGTTCTGAGTGGCTGGGGGAAGGTGGGAACTTCTGGGATTCCCACAAGCTATGGGCTGCAGGTCACCAGCAAGCAATACAGCCAGACATTGTAAGTGGTCCACAGTATTGACCTCTTTCCCTGTCCTTCTCAAGAGGAAAAACTTGCCTCATACTCTCGGCCTTTAGGCTTCAGCCTTAGTTAACGGCACATATATTTTCAGAAGGGATCCACTGTAAGTCCTCAACAGCTTCTGCCTTGGTTCTGCTACACTGTCTTCCAAGAATTGGTCTGAGAAAGCAAGAGGAGGTTGGAAATAGTTAACATTTACGGAGGGTTTACTAGGCACCAGGCCCTGTCACAGACCGTGTCACCTCACTCAGTCCTCATCGCAGCAGTGTTGCAGGGGTGGTTCTTAGCATTCTCAACATTTTAAAGATTTGTTTTATTTTCATGTGTACAAATGTTTTTGCCTGCATGTATGTCTGTGCACCACGTGAGTGACTGGTGCCCTCACAGGTCAGAAGAGGGCATAGATAGAGCCCACTGGAACTGGAGTTACAGATGGTTGTGAAACACCATGTGGGTGCTGGGAATCACCCACTTGTATGCTTTGCAAGAGCAACAAGTGCTCTTAGCTTCCAGCCATCTCACTGGAGCCCAGCACCCTCTCCTGTGCTTTAAAAGTAGGGTCTCACTGTGTAGCTCTGACTGACCTGAAATTGCTATTTAGATCAGGCTGGCCCTGACCTCAGAGATCCTTCTGTCTCTATCTCCCAAGTGTTAGAATTAAAGGCCTGTACCACACCCAATTCATTCTCAATTTTTCAAAATAATTTTTTTTACTACTTTATGTTTAGAAATGTTTTGCCTGCAAAATCATATACCAGATGTGAGCCTAGTCCCCTCAGAGGTCATAAGCAATCAGAACCACTGGGACTGTTGTGGGCCACCATTAATGGTGCTGGGAACCAAATCTGAGTCCTCTACAAGAGCACTAAGTGCTCTTAACTACTGAGCCATCTCTCCAGCCGGTTAGTGCTTTTGTTTTGTGTTTTGTTTTGTTTTTGAGAGCAAGGGTGTTGGGATGGGAATGTCTCACTATGCGGCCCTGGCTGGCCTGGAATTTACTGTGACTGTAAACTAGGCAGACCTTACTCACCTGCCTCTGCCTCCCCAGTTCTGGGATTAAAGACCTGAAGCACCATGTAGGGCTTACTGTTTTAACTTTTGTACCTACTTTGGCCTTAGTGAGCTTTGAAGCTGTCCGAGACCTGCCCCAGACTAGAAAGGAGAGCCCCACCAGCAGGAGTCCAACAGAAAGCTGTGTTCTTTCCAGAATCTAGAATCCCCTAAAGAGAATGTGCTCACTTGTAAAAGAAAAAGAAGTGGAAATTTGCTCTTGTTCCTTGCTCCGAGGACTTGTCTATGGGTAACAAGGAGGTTTCAGGAGCCACTACTCTAGTGCAGCCTCCAGATCTTTTACTGTTAATCTGTGATCCACAACCATGTTTGATGATGCCACCCACAACCCAAGCCCTGTGCCAGGAACCATCCTTTCCAAAGCTGGTGAAGCAGGCTTTTGGAGGTGGTTGAGTAGATCCTGAATTGAAGCCCCTTTAGCCAAGTGTCAGAGAATCCTCCCCGGAGCTCCCTTTAGCAGCTTTCTGCCAAGGTCATGTCTCTTTCCCACCACGCCCCGCCCCCTGCGTGCCTCTCCCGCAGCCCTCCCTACCCTCTCTTTAGTCAGCGTAGAGCTGTGAGAAATGACAATTTCCAGAAGACACTTTTCAGGACCTTAGTTGTGGTACCAGATGGGGGCTGGTGTGGATACGGAGGAGAAAACGGGCAAAGGGGAGCCAAACAGAAAATGGGTTGAAGTCGGCAGCTCAAGGACAGCCATTGCTTGACTTTATGTCGAAAACATGTGAACGTAGGCTCTCCCCGAACCCCAATTCTGGTTGGCTGTACACCTGCTGTGTTGGCCCCCCAAGTGCCGTAGGTCCGACTTCCTTGCAACCCTCCGGTCACATCAATCCAGGAAATCTCTGTCCAGAGACTCCACGGGGTGGGGGTGGGGTGGACATTGTTTGCGAACTGTACCCTCTGTCCATCTCTGTCCATCACTGCTAGGCTGCCTGGTTGCCACATTACACGCTTGATACTGTGGAGTGCTGGTGGCTTGGGGGGCAGCCGAGGTATCAACTCATCCGAGTACCGCCTTCCAGAATCCCCATGATAGCTCCACGGGATATTGTGTGGGACTTCCCGCCGAGAAGCGCCCAGTCAGAGCTGAGGGCCCCGGGCCCCGCCAATTATGAGCAGAGTGTGGGAGGTGGGGGGGGTGCTCGCTAGGGAAGCAGCTCGTGCGACGGGGCCCTGCCTTCTCTGACCTCCCCGCTGAGGTGGGGGACCGCGAGGCTCGCAGGGCAGGAGAGCCTGCGCGGGCCCCTGGCAAGGCTCCCCCTGCCGTGCTGGCGACCGTGGCGGGGTTGAGGTGGAGGGGCGCTGTTTCCACCCCGTGCCTGGTCCCTCCCAGCCTCCCTTCTCCACCCCGCCCGCTCGCCCGTGGTCCCTCCCGTCGGTCCCTCCCTCCGGCTCTTCAGTCCCTCCTCGCCCTGCCTCCTGCGCGCCCAGCCCAGCCTCCGCCCGCGGGGACGTGTGTGTGTCTGTGTGTGAGTGTGTGAGAGTGAGCGTGTGTGTGTGCGTGCGCGCGTGTGTGGTGTGTGTGTCTCCAGTGCGATTTCCCCTTTCTCTCGCTCGCCTCAGAGCAGCTCTCCAGCGGGCGCCCCCCGCCGTCCTTCCCTCGGCGCGGCCTCCCGGGGACCTCGGGACTCCCGTCGCATCGCCAGCACCCCGATTCCTCTTCAGCCGGGGCGCAGCCGTCTCACCTGGGGTTCGCATCTCGCTTGCCCTCCAACTTTGCCATTGGCGGCGGCGGCGGCGGCGGGACGTGTGGGAGAAGCCCAGCGCCTCGCCCGGCCGCCCGCCCGCCCGGACCAGCCTGCCCCGGCGCCGAGGTGAGTCACGGGCGCGGGCCGGCGGGGGCAGGCGGGCCCCGAGGAGAGCAGGAGGGCGGGCGGGCGGGAGGGCGGGCGGCCCCCGGCGGCCGCGAGGACGACCCGGCGCCGAGCTCAGCCGCCACTTCTCCTTTCCGCGGCGCCCAGCTCCCGGCGCCGCCGGCCGGGGCCCCGATTTCGAGGTGGGGGGGAGGAGAAGGCGGCCCGGCGGCCCTTGGGGACCCGTGTCTCAGGCCCTGGGACGGCGAGGGGACCACTCGCCGCCCGAGATCTCAGGAACCCGGGTCATCCGGCTGGAGGAGCGCCGGACCTCAGGTACGTCGATGGCGCCGCTTCTAGGGACGCGGGGCGAGACCTCGAAAAGTTTGCCTGCGTGAGGCATCAAGGGTGGCGGGGACCAGGAAGGGTGCGTGTGCCTCAGCCTGGGGACTGTGAGGTCACAAGCAGAAGTGAGCAGCGGCTGCCGGGCGGGCGGGAAGGCGCTTTCCGTCGGCCTCGGGACAGCAAGGGTTCTGTGGAAAGGCCGTTAGGGACTGCGGCGCCGTCCCCACCCCATGCTGTTCGCCGATCGCAACGCCCGAGGGCAGGAGGCTCAGCGGACTCTGGCGACTCCGGCCAGGTTGAACCGGTGGCCCTTAGGGCTTTTACAGCCAGGCACTGAAGACAAGCACACACACAGTCTCGATCACACACACTCCACACTCACACACACGCCGGCGCGTAAACCTATGACTTGGAGACCTGAACTGCCAAAATAGAGACCTCTTGGCAGGGGCTGGAGTTTCCGTGTCAGCCAGCCGCCAGGCTTCCCGCTCCCTCCTTCCCGCTCTCCAAGGTTCTCCCGCCTCTTGGCTTCCTCTCCTGCTATTTCTGAGGGGACCCAGCAACCGCACAGCGCAAAGGTCCCCCCACCCCCCAATGCCAGAGTCCGCCTTTGGCGGTTCAGAGACTGCTGAGCTGGCAACCGCTTTATGAATTCCTGCCCCTTCCACCGTACCCCTAAACTTTGATGCCCTTTCGTTGGGAAGTAGACCTGGGACTTACATGTCCTGATGTAAGAGTTACCTCCTGATCCCTTGGCACCTCAGCTTAGTGGGGCTCCCTCGGGTACCCCCAACCACCACCGCACCCCAGCTAAGGAGCTCCGGGATTTGATAGCCCTTTGATTTCTGCCCCTCATCCCTCTGCCTGAGACAGAGGCCTGTCAGGTCCTGCAGCTTCTTCTAGTTAATGTTTGACAGTTCATTGTACCTAATCATTTTAATTAGCTCTTAAAGTGGGGAGTAACAGTTAACCTTGGACTTCTCGATTTTGGCCTGGTGGGGCCTCAAATGGGAGGAGTTCTGAGGAGGTAAGAGCGGAAGTGAGGTCACCACCCCTGGCCTGAGCCACCACAGCTGGCTCCAACAGCTGGTGGGCACACCCATTAGGGACTCAACTCCTGTGAGCTGACCCTTGCTTGGCCTCTAAATGCCAGGATGAAAAAAGGTGAAAGGAACCTATCTTTCTCTTCCCCATTTTGGGGAAACAGGGTTCTTTGGCATTGAAAATGCCCAGAAAACTTGTAGGCCAAGTAAGAATATTAGTCGGTTCCAGGATTTCCCCAGTTAAAAAGTGCTTCCTTGACCCAGTGCAGAAAGAAAAAATGTAGGTGAGCAGGCAGGCGCTCTCTCTAGGTGTGTGAAGACAATCAACAGCAAACCCGAGCTGTAAGAAGCTGCCTTGCATATGGAGGTCTCTGAAGCTGGCTTCAAAGCCCATGCATGATCTCTTGTGGGGTGTGTGTGTGTGTGTGTGTGTGTGTGTGTACGCACACATGTGGCTATGAAGCAGACACCACCATTGCCACCCTTACCCAGCCTCTCTCTGTGAGCTGAAGGAGTGGCTTGTTTGCAACTATGCCTGGCATTCCTCCCTTCATGGTACTGTTTGCTGGCTACTCAGAAACTAGTGCCCACCCCTGGTTAAGCTGGGGGCCCCTGATCCAGCCTTCTTCACATAGTGCTAAGTGACAGTGCAATAGCTTCAACCTTCTCTGCTATATTATATTGGGACCTAAAAATAAGGGCCCCATGGCCCATCATGGGGCTAATTGATAACATACTCAAAATGCCTCTAATACTGCAAACATTTAGGGCTTTGGCCCCCAGAAAGGCCCAAATCAGCCGCTTGCTGAGAGTATGGCTTGTCTAGGTTGCCCTTTACTTTTGGCCTTGGCCTTGGGTGTCACACAAGTGCCTCCCCAACTTTCTCATTTGCTTCCATTCACGAGAGCCAGCCTGTCTGGGTTGAAAGTCCAGCTTTGTCATTTACTAGTTATGTGGCCCCAGTCAGTTTTATGCGTTAGTCACACTAAGTGGCAAAAGAATTAAGTTATAAAATTGGATAGGAATAAATACATTCCTAACTCTAGGTTGCTGATGAGGACACTGGGAGGTACAGGGCCCACGTGGAACTGGCATTGTGATATTGTCGAATACAGTACCTAAAATTCAGGTTCAACTCAGCAAATGCAAAAATTTACTGAGAGCTGGTCCTAGTACTAGACTGGCCCCGATGAAGTGTTGGTCGAGAAAATACGAGGGTGAAGACAACACTGGCCTTACAGGGTTGTATGGTGGCTGAAATGGGTGGTAGGTTATAGGAGTCTGGGAAGATTGGATATGTTGTCTGTATAAATAATAGAGTTTAAAACCAAACTCGAGGACTTGAAGAGATGGCTCAGCAGTTATGAGCACTGCCTGGTTTTGCAGAGGACCGGGGTTTGATTCCTTGCACCCACATGGTGGCTCACAACCATTTGTAACTCCAGTCCCTGGAATTCTGACATCCTCTTCTGACCTCCTGGGGCACCAGGTATGCATGTGATGCACAGACATACATGCAGTCAGAACACACATACACAAAATAAATGTACAAAATAAAAAATAAAATAAAGCCAAACTCAAAGTCCTGGACTAGGATGGCGAGCCAGGTGCCCCAAACTGAAGGCTTCTCCTTACTTGGAGATGGTGCCTAAGTTCTGGTCTGAATGCTATCTGTCCCTCTGGTCTTGGTGAGGGAGAGGGAAGGGAAAGTAGACCCATGCACAGGCTCAAAGTGACAGGCATTTTGGACTGTGATTTCCTGTGTACCAGGGGCAGGGTGGCATTACTTATGGCCCCTCCCAAATACTCCTAAAGCCCTCAGAAATGGCAGAGATCGCACCTGGCATGCCTCCTCCACATCCTTGAATCCTCTGCTGAATTAGGAAGAGCCTTAGGCAACCCTTGCTACTCTGTTCTGGGCCTAACCCCAACCTGGCCTTGGTTATCACTCTTGGTTTTCTAAACTGCAAAAAGGTTTCTGGCTTTGCTGCCAATTTATTCCCTTTGTGGTTCTCAGAGTGAAAACTAGTTCTGCAGGGGAGAAAAGAAACCCATGAAAGGTACCCAGAATCCCATGGGCGCTTTCCTAGGGGTCAGGGGCTTTTCTCATCAACACCAACCTGCCTGCAAATCTCTGGCTGCTGAGCCTCGTGTGTCCTGTAATAGCGGCTGTGCTGCTAATGCCCTGTAGCTTGGGCCCCAGCGCTGGTTGCCAAGAAACTGCTAGTCGGGGTGCTTATGAGGGTTCTGACCTCATAGGGGCTGCTGAGTTTCAATTCAGCAGACATTTATTAACACCTACTGTGTGCCCAACCTGTGCTATGAGCTGTGGGGGAGCAGAGGGAAGGAGGTGGAGGGGCAGAGATGACTAAGACACTGAAACAATCAGAGGCGAGGACGAGCAGCCAGGCCAGGAGCTGGTCAGGTGCTAATTGTACTTCTTGGAGCAGAGGCCAGGCAGCCAGGACTCTGAGGTCAGCAGCAGCTAGAGGAGGGAGGGAAGGCTTTGTGAGGGATTCGGGTGAGAGCTAGACCTTGAAAGGGGGCGGGGGCAGCGAGGGGGAGATGTGGCTCGGCAGAAAAGGGAGAAAAGACGCCTTTCTCTCTATTCCCTGGCCACGGACTGACCTTCGAAGCCTGGATGATTGTTTGGTAAATGCATGTCACATAAAAGAGCAGGTCAGTGAGTGTGGGTGGCTTCATGCAAGCCTCGATCTCCACTTCAGGACGTACAAAATGCTTGGCCTAGACAGTGAGCCCAGCCTGTATTGAGAATACACAAAGGGTAGCCAGGCTTCCCCCACCACCCAAGCTGAGAGGATTTCATTATGGACTGCACTCTCCAACACAGGCCAGCTAGGAGAGGAGGGAGGGAGGCTGGGAGGGAGTGACATGGGGGAAGAGAGAGGTAGAGGACATCAAAGCTGACATGTCACAATTGTTCACAGGAGATATCTGTTGCCTAGGTCCCACCTTGTTCCCCAGGTTTTGAGACTTCTCTGGGACCCTGGTGGTAGAGAGCAGAGATTTTTAACACAGTCCCCCCACCCCCCCAGCCAGCTGCGAATTGAAGTCTAGAGAGTCCCACATTTCTGCCTGGACACAGAAAAAAAATCACCATGTTTTTGTTCTTCTTTTGAGTCTTCCATGGCTGGATAAGAAATGAGCTTTTGCCTCTTGTTAGGCTCAATTGGATAAAAACACCTGGACTACCACACACCCCCCCCCCTTCACGCACACGCGCGTGTGTGCATACGCACACTCCACACACACACACACACACACACATATACACACACATACACACACAGCTTCTTGCTGCTTTTGGCTTTGCCTCTCCTCGGTGCATTTAAACACCTAAGGAGCGTTACTTGAGTGTCCCAACTTGGGCTGGGAAACTGTGTCTTATGGTGAATTTCTTGACAAAGAATCTGTTCCCAGATGAATGAAGGGGCTCAGGCAGCAGAGATGAGGGTTTCATGCAGTAAGGGTCTTCAAGGAAAGTGATGGAACATTTCTCAGAGTGGCTAAGAAGAAACAAAGTAGCCCAGCATTGTACCTTCAACACTGGTACTCAGGAGGCAGAGGTAGGTGGATCTCTGAGTTCAGCCTAGTCTCTAGAGCAGGTACTAGGACAACCAGAGCTACACAGAGAAACACTGTCTCAAAAGAGAGACGGAGAAAGGGGGAGGGTGTTAAGTAGCTGGTGAGAAAGGGGGAGGGTGTTAAGTAGCTGGTCGGAGTTGAACAAGCTTTGCCTTAAGTTCTTAATTTTGGATGGGCTGTGTCTTGCCCAGTGCTGATACTTCATGCCTCTTAGTCTACCTGCCCTTCTGGAAGCTTCCTGCCTTCTTCTAGTCTGACCCAATATCATTCTCAAGAAGACAGAAATGCTTCAGACTAGAAGAAGGCAGGAAGGGAGCACAGTGTGTCTGCATTCTTATCTCA